TAATTCACAGAATTTTTGTGATATTTTTGGACAGTAATCTGAATAAGAATTAATCTTATAGATTCTTGTTGCTCATCCTTTCATTGAATTAACAATGCATCAATTTGAATTTTTGTGGATATAAAGAGAACAATCAATCTCCGAGTCAAGCTGAAGTGATTCTTTTGACTTTAAGAAGCATATCAGTGTTAGCCTTATAGAGAAATTGTCAACAATGAATCCATTGTTTTAAATGGTGATGCTCAGGCATACTTGTTCCAGTTTTGGATGGTTTATCTTTATCCATAATCCATCCAAACCAGTTCCAAGTCATATCATATTAATTGTCAACTGAGAGAGAATATTGGACAGATACTTCTAACAAGAACCTCCCATTAACTTTATATGCTTATCAAACAGCTCTAGCCATTTTGACTTCTTTTAATCTTCTGAGAACATCATCAAACTCTTCAAGCCTCATTCAATGTTGCAAACTTCTGGTTCAAAGCATCAGTAAGGCTCCTCATTTCCTGACATCCAATAAAATGCCAAAGAAACAGTGGAATTTTGCCAGCAGCCAGCATCAATAAGTTGTTCTCTCTCATTGTCAGTCATTAATGATGGCTTATCTTTGTCACTCCCCATCCTCACCAGTGTTGTGACCAGAAACTCTTTTGGCTTCCCGAAACATTTCGGAAAATGAACTTCACTAAGCAGAAATCTAAACCTAAACATAAACATAAACTACTAACCTAAACTAGTTTCGGGTGGTTTCTGTTAGTTTCTGTTTCTGGTTTTCCCTAAACTCAGAGTTTCGGGTCACAACACTGATCCTCACTCTTCAAAAAAAAAAAAAAAGAATCAATTTCAAAGTAATTTACAGTTCTTTGAGAAACACTATTTATCTCTGGAAACCAGCAAGACTTTGATTTAATTTATGATAAATGTCATTACAATTGTTATGGTCAGATAATAATTGAATACCAACTTTTTCTTTTTTTGATATGTAACAACAAAATATGTTTTACCTTGCTTTCATCAAAAGGTCTCAAGTTGTTATATTATTATTTTAGTATAAGATATGTTGCTGTGCATTATCATCATTTCCAAAGTCAAGATTAAGGCTTCTTGGATATCAGCCTGTTTTTTTTTTTATGAATAGAGGCAGACCAGTGTTGTAAGAATGTGTGATTTTCATAACTAATTGTTACATAGACAAAGGGTTTCATATGATGAATTACACTAATCAAGTCTACAGCCTCCAGGACTTCCGAAGACTTCTCTCAGTCCATGTAAGTGAAATTTCTGACAAATTGAATTTTTTTATGTAGGCTTCATTTTTCCAGCAAATGGAAATGGCAACGTCACATATGTTTTAAGCTTCTTTAGAATTAGAGATTAACATAATAAGACTACTGAGGTCTTTAGCTGTTATACAAGTGTCTTTTGAAAGAAATTTGAGTTAAAATGAAATGGAAATATATTCACAAGAAAGGGTGTATGACTGTATTAGTCAGGAACAGTATAACTCAAGTAATCCAGTTGAATGAGTTGGCCCAATATTTAATGGATCAAGCTGAAATATGTAACAAATCAATTAACTTCAAAAATCCTTAGACATGTATAAAAAAAAAATCCATCTTTGCCAAGTTGTCTCTAAAATTATCATTAAAAAATTGTTGATAATAATCATTGACATCATCAAGGAAACATTAATCAATAATATTATATAAAATAAAGGATTATTATAGAATATTGATTGGCAATATAATGGCCATTTTGATTTTACATGGAATAA